TTATGAAGTTAAGCCCCAAAATTTTGGAATTCTATTTAGCACTTTGTTGCTCAAACTAATGTATGAGTTTTGCCTGGTGTTTCTCTTTGGTTTGGGGTTGTGGGGTTTGCAAGGGTTTGTTTTCTTTTTTCTTTTGGCCAGCATATTTGTAAATTATGAAAAATAGAAATATTATTGAGCAATTTCAAATGAGTAGTTTCAGCTCTCGAGATTTAATCTTCTGTCTAATGTCCAGGCAGAGCAATTTATACTCTCAAGGTAGTCAGGGTACAGAGAATATTTTATACAAATGCACACACGCTGCTGCTGAAGTTGCAGAATTTAACTGCCAAGGAGCAGCAAGGACAAGCTGCTGTGCAGAGTAAGGTGAAATGGGAGTCAAGGGTGACAGCAAGACAGGCAGGGACCTCGCTGTCCCCGAGCAAGAAGAGCAGAGCAGGTCCCGAGACATAAACCTGGTTCACCCAACGGTCCAGCAGCCACCAGACATTTAAATACGTAGCGACGAGGCAGGTCTCAGGTCCAGCTGAGAAGCCGAGTCAGCGAGGCAGCGTCAGGGTCAGCAATATACCTGGCCAGGTACCGCACACGCCTGGGGGAGCTCAGGAAGGGACCGGAGCTTAATTCGGCACAGCTCCCAAGGCACGGGGCAGAGGCCACGGACGGGGCTGGCGACAGCTACCTGTCTGATGCAAGGTTAGCTGGCTGCCTGGTGTCAGAGCTGGCCTTGAGCGCGGGCGGCCGAACCCGGCGAGCAGGGAGCTGCAAGAGCCATTACTGCACTCCAGGACCTGACAATCACGTTGGACAGGTCAGCCCTAATCTGAAAGGTAACATCCTACCAATCTATGAAATCTATCGGGCTTGACTGATGTGTGATCTCTATTTCTTAAAACTGACTTCTGCCCGTTTTTAAACCTTCCTTCTAAGAATTCAAGCGAGGAACTCACCTGAAGCTGAACTACAAAACAAGACAGTATCTCATCTCTTGTCCAGGTCCTGGAATTATTACTCCTCCACAAGCACAGCAGAACCCCCACCATAAAAAAGGCACTTAGTCCTATAGGCCCTGATTTTCCTGTTTCTGCTTTCCAGTAACTACTGTTTCCAGAAAACAGATAAACTATGTTAAAACTAAGTCTACAAACTATCAAATGGCCACAATAAGATACACGGTGAATAAACAAAACTAGTAAGTACTATTTCCTCTACAGGGAGCAGTTAATTTTACTGTAGCACTAAAACACACAAAATAATAATTTATTATTTCAAAGAATACCAAACAAATTATGGAAATTTTTTTTTTGCACCTACATTTAAAAAAACAAAACAAACAAAAAAACCCCATGATATTTATAACCAAAATATGTCCAGTCAAAAAGTAACCACAGCATGTAGTTGCACTGGTAATGACAGTAGTGATAACAGTGATTTGTCCACATGACTACAATAAAGCTTAGAGCTCAACTGCAGCTTTGCCAAAAAACCCAACCCTGCGTGCCGAAGAGTTGTTCATGCTGCAAATGCCTCTCAAAGCTACCCCGATGCAGGAAAATGTATACCAGTGCCAAGCCTATGGTCACACCATATGGTTCTACTAAGAAATACTCCAGGTAGTGAGGAGTAAATCTGTTACACCAGTAGTTACTTCCCATCCCAAGTGGAGCGAGCTAGGTTAGCTCATATTTTCAACAAGCTGCAACTCAGAGTGAGAAAACCCTTCTTCGTCTATGCACATGTGGAACGCTATCTGGATATTGAGATGCTAAAGGTCTGGTTGCGTCTGGAACAGTGTTTACTTCAATGAAACACCAGCCCTGGACGTGCTGCCATGTTGATTATCCAGGACAGAATTGAGATGAAGCAAGCAGAAAAGTTTTTAAAATTCTATTTTAGCTGAAGAGGAAAAAAATCAACAAACATGCAGCCTGTTACATATCATTTGTGCTCCTCTGAATAAAAATTAATTCAGGAACAGGACATCTCTTACACAGCTCTATTTATGAACTAAAGGGTGAGGGCTGTCACATAAACTAGGAAGAAACGTTGCTGAATGTTGCCTTATTACCATATACCAGTCGTCCTGCTACTATTCTGAGAATGCTCCATC